TTTTCTTTTGGAACATAGCTAACTAACTAAAAAAAAAAAAAAAAAAAAGCTCGAAAACCAACTTACTGTAACGCTTTAAGAAGGGCTATTGCTACAAATCAAATGCTTGAAAGATACTTAAGCAGTTGCATCGAGCTAAGAAGGGGCTGTAACTAACTGGCTGCACCGAGCTGAAAAGAGCGATTGCTATAAGTTGGATGCTCGAAAAGCAGCTGGTTGCATCGCGCGGAAAAGGGCTATTCTATAAGGAAAAAGACTATATAAATATTCAAGAGATAGCTAGCTGCATCGCGCTAAAAGAAGCTATTATTAGAGATCTACAGTAATATAGTAGTACTACTCTCCCCCCCCCCCCCCCCCCATGAATAAATGTCGAAAGTATAATTTCGCAAGGAATCTTACCAAGGCTTAAACCAATCAACTTATAAGGATTCAGCTTTGAAAAGTATCCTTGAGCCAGTATTTAGCCTATACAGTGGAGTTGACAGGGCTTTAAGCCATTAAGAAACCACCGCTCTATGATCTATGGGCTTAAACTGGGTCCAACATTTATTCATGGGGGGGGAGAGTACGTAATGTTGAGCTAAATGTAGATCCTGGCTAAGATCGTAAACTATTAAAAATGCGGTCACTTGATTTACGCTCGTAACGTTGATTAGGTGCATCTATTTAAGCTTGAGCTATCGGAGGAACGTCAAAAACTTGACTAAGCGCTTACTAATATAGAAAATGAGAATCTTGCGAATGTAACGAGTTTGCGCTTTTGCGATTGAAATCTACTTTTTTTTTTTTTAAAACCTATTATTATAAACTCTTTTCACTTGATTAATAGCTAATTAGTAAAAAGAAAATTCTCGAAAACCAGCTTGCTATATCGCATTAAAAAGGGCTATGGCTATAAATTAAATGCTCGAAAGATAGCTAGCTGCATCGGGCTAAAAAGGGCTCGAAAAACAGCTTTTTGCATCGCTTTAAAAAGGTTTATTGCTATAAATTAAATGCTCGAGGGATAGCTAGCTGCATCGGGCTAAAAAAAGTTATTGCTATAAATTAAATGCTCGAAAAGTAGCTAGCTGCATCGCGCGGAAAAAAGCTATTCTATAGGAAAAGGGCTATTTTATAGGAAAAGGGCTGTTCTACATGAAAAAAGCTATTGCTATAGATAAAATATTCGACAGATAGCTGGTGCGTTATAAGAAGCTATTATTATAAATTATATAGCTACGAATATTATACCGCGAAGTCCGGAAAACTTACCCCGGAGCCGGGCTGAAGCGTCACATTTTCTTTACGTCCCTTTAAAGCGTATTTCTTATAGAAAATCGATGTAGCGCTAATGCGGAAGGCAGCCTCGCACCACGACCGGGCGGAGCAAGGTCTCCTCTGGCCCCGGAGCTTGCGGAGGGCAGCCAGAGACAAGACCTTGTATGGATATCGAGTATGGAGACAACAGTGGGCCTGATGGGCCTAATACCTAGGAGAGGCGGTCACTGACTGACTGTTGCTTCTCGGTTGCTGGCGTCTCCTGAATCGGATTCGCCGATTTATTGTTGTGCCACGCTGGCGTTTCGACACGCAGCAATTCTGACGTTGGCCCTCAAGTATTGCCAGCAAGCTGCGTAGCAATCGCACCTTCATCTCTGGCTCGATCAATCTCTGCGGAGAGCAACATCATTCCACGATCGGCCACCGTAATAATATTCTGCAGCTCCTTGAGCGCTCGCTCGTTATGGTTCGTGAAAAACCCATCTAACGATCGCTTGAATTCCGACGTCGGGTTATGATAGCTTTGGAATGTTTCTGCATCCCAGTCCCTCCGTCGCGCAGTATCTGATCCACTTGAAGATATTTGGGTATGTTCCAACAAGCCCCCAAGGTCTACAGACTCAGGGAGAGCATCATGTGGAGGGCCATGGGGAGAAGGGGTGGCCGGCTCTACTACTGGTGCAAAAGGATCCAGCCCTTTGATTACCGCGTCGACGAATCGTTGATCGAAACACCGATTCTGGCTGGTCGGATCCTCAAAGTCATACGTTGGGTATTCTGGGTCAGGAAAAGCCCGGAAATCGTCATATCCGAGGCCAGTGACTCGAAGGATATCGAGCTTCAGCTCTGTCGAAGCACGGAGGTCTTCAGCGATCCAAAACGCCTCCTCTCCTTTCCGACCCACGCCACCGATCCATAAGTCTGGGCCCTGAGGGAGAGCGTGAGGAGCGCGGACTTTGAGATAGACTTGATTCAGGTATAACTCCTTCAGCGAGGGTGCGATCTGCCTCATGAGACTCACGAAAGAACGGGCCCTTATATCCACTCTTTTGAGCTCTAGGAACCGCAGATGAGTCAGCTTAGAAGAGATGTCTCTGTGGAATGGCAGAGAACGCATTATCCAATGATTGTAGGCCACATTGTGGCAATGTCTCCTGGTCTTGATATTCCTTCGGACGTTCCATCCTATCAAGCATAGACTTTCCAGATGTGACGCCTTCTCGATCAAAAACCAGAGGTTGTCGCTGAACGTTATTTGTGACGCCTGGAGAGTCTCTTGCCTTTTGATCTGCAACACCAAGTGCTTGAGCCCCTCGAAGACGCGAACGGCATTGATCACATCCATTGGATTGTTGCATATATCCACCACCGAGGTATCGCTGACATGATCCAAGACCATTGTCTCCAAAGTAATGTGTTCCTCGGGCCGTCTTGCAATGCATGCAAGTGTTGTTGCTAGCAATATCGTGGCGGTTCGACTGGTCTGGCCGACTACTTGGAAGGGGAGGTTCAACTTCAACCGGCGCAAGTTGGGTGTAGACCATACTACTCTCTGGCTTGAAAGTTAAGAAGATACCGGAGGGGGGCCGGGGCTGTGGAAATATCGACATACCTCGACGACAGTCCTAAAATCCGTCTCGTCAAAGGTATTTTCATTCATGCAGTACCTGCGAAGAGAATCCAGGAGTGGACTCATCTCGGGTACCTTTGATAATAGACCTTGGAAGACGCTTGATAATCGACTGATCTCCTCTGCATCAATGTGAAGGGTTAGCAGGGATTCCACCGAGCTGAAGTAGCTACCTGTCGAAGAGAGGGAAATCTAGGCCAGTATTCTGGCAGAGCACCGAGTAATTCAAGCAGCCAGAGGATCATTGCAAGCACTACCACGACCCGACGTACCCTCGTCTCTCACGACCATCAAGTCCAAGTGTATAGCCTCGCAGATGGCCCCCACGCTCGATAAGCTGTCGGGATCGGGTGTCGCCTCATGTCGCAGGAATCTGGAGAACTCAAGCTGTACCGTCTTGAATGCAAAGGCGCGTAGGGCCAGATCAAATGCCTTGCAGACCAACCGATGTTGAACTATGGTGTTCTTATGTCTCTCACACATGCGCACCTCCCATTGCAAGATGAGGCCAAGTATTTCGGTGGGAAGGGAATCCATGACGGGAGGGGGGAGTGTGTTGAATATGGTACTTTGTTATGTTCGCATCTGTCTTGGTGGCGGGTTGGTGTCGTCGACGAAGTTGTTGTTGGAGGTTGGAGGGTGGAGGGTGGAGGGTGGAGGTTGGCGGGTAGAGGTTGGAGGTTGGAGGTTTTTGGTGGGGGTGGATTATACAGTGGTCGAGCTGCAAACGCAATGCCGTGCACGACTGGCGATATTTATATAAAAGAGAGCCTTTTATTTAGAGTTCCAAGGAGCTTAATCGAGACAAGAGGAAGTCCAAGGGTCCAGTACCATACACTCCAGATACCTTATCAGTCAAGGAGCTTCTCGAGTATTCCGTATACCGAGTACGAAGTACCGGTACCTAGGTACCTAGAAGTATGAGATGAGCTACCGGGAGTGTTGCTTGAGCACCGACCGCAGGCACAATATTTACATACATATACGGTACTTGGATATATATGAAGCAGGCTAAGTAACAGGAATCTTGTGTCTGTACCTACCTACCTCTTGAAGAGTTGGAGAGGTAAAGACAACGATAGAAATCATTATATCCATATCCATACGAAATCTCTCTGAGACTGAGATATTCTCACTGCTCGGCTCTTCCTATCCGCAGTCCGCAGTCAGTACCGGTACCTAGGTACCTAGGTACCTAGGTACCGGTACCTTCTCACCCCACCTCACCTTCATGGTACCTACAGAGTCCGTAGTAGGTAGGTAGTAGTGAAACACCCGGTCCTCCTCCCCAAACTGCCTCCACAATCTAATCCAATTCTCAATTCCATACTAAACTTCATCAGCATCATCATCTTCATCATCTTCATCATCACCATCTTCGTCCCCATCACCACCATCACCACCATCTTCGTTACCATCATCATCGCTCCCCCCCCCCTCTTCCCTCCCCCCTCTCTCCTGATTCCCTACGCCTCACGGGTTTCTTGCCAGCCAGCCTTGCCATGTTCGCCTAGACGCAATCCTCCTCACAGCCAAAGCTGCCCCTGAGCACGCCCGGCCCAACATTGACCATGTCGAAGGCATTCAACGATAGCACAACAGCAACAGCAACAGCAACAGCATCAGCAGCCCTCCCTCGCTCCTACTCCTCGCCCAGTATCTCCTCCAATTTCGTCAATGTCACACAGCCAGAGATCCTGCAGAACGACCAACTCCCCAGGTCGGCAAGCTACAGCAGCAACCTCTTCTCCCCGGATGGATCATGCACGGCACAGAAGGAAGGAGTCGTGGCTGCAGAAGGGAGGCCAACGGAGCTGCAGCGCTCGCAGACGGCAGGCATAGGGATACAGCGGAAGACTACAAACCGCTTGACGGAGGATGAGCGCCCCAAACTGCAGAGGATCGGGAGGAGGAAGTCCTTGGTTCAGCGCCCAAAGTCGTGGATCCAGAGTCTGAAGAGTGGATCCCCAGAAAGGCAGAAAGAAGCCGGGACGCTCGTCACAGCACCAAGCGATGCCCCTCCCGTACCTGCAATTTCGAAGGCCATCCGGGACAAGGAAAGCAAGACGACGAAGACCGTATCAGAGTCGTTCGCGAACTTTGCGAGGAAGTCATGGATGAATTCCTCGAGATCACCATCTCCGAATCGTACCATGTCTCGAGAGGCAGAAGGCAATGAGAAGATTGCTGATGACTCGAAAATGACGGGCCAGCCTGTGAATACCACCCCGAAACTCGACCAGTCACATTCGCCCCCTTCCACAACTGCTGCGACCACAACCGCTGCCGACAGCCCGCCCACGCTTCTTCGAACGGTGTCGACTTTGCGGAAGATGAAACAGAGGCCAGCAAGTGTCCTAATGACTTTGACAGGTTTCAACTCGACGAACTCTTCGGCGAGTAGCTTACCGAGAAGCTCTTTGGATAACAGATCGACACCTCGAACATCGACTGATAAAGTGCCACCCTTGCCAAAGAAGCTGTCCACGGACAAGAATCCACGTAGCGCTGCTGACATTCCGCCTCGCAAGCGAGACGAGCTCTGGCCAGCCTTTCGGTCTTTGGAGAACGATCACTCCAAGTTCCAATCTAAGAGCTGGTCGTTGAAGACGAACGTAGTCCGTTCATCACTCCTGCCGTTTCTTCGCAGCCATGCGTCACATCCCTCGAATAAGAATCTGAGACCCGAAGACCTCGACCGCAGAGTGATCATTTTGAATAAATGGTGGACTGGGCTTTTGGAGGTCTTGGATGGGAGACAGAACCAGACTGTCAGCGGGCTGGATCGCCCTGTTCTCTTAGAAGCTTGCTACGAAATTATGATAAGGCCCGAATGGCGGCTGTCACCATCTCAATTTGCCCCATTGGCAGAGCGCGTTCCCAATCCATCTCCCGAAAGGCGTCCCCAATCGAGGAAGAAATCCTCATCCAACTCTTCGAGCTCCTCGGCCTCCCAGTTTATGGCCGAGTCCGTCTACCACAATACCTGCAACCTGTTCATCCAAAATCTCCTAGCTCAGATGACTTTCGTTGTTGATAAGATGTCCTTGAGACATGCTCCCGCAAGTCTGGTAACGTTCTGCGGAAAAGCAGCTGCGTATGCTTTCTTTTTTGTGCCCGGTGTCGCTGAAATGTTGGTCCGAATATGGAAATTGGAAGCAGATATCCTGAAACGTGTTTCGGATGTACTGAAAATGCCAAGGAGAGCCAATAAGCTGGAGCTGGATCAAGTTAATGCTGCGTTTCCTGCCCATATACGGTCGCTGGCATGGACGTCTGTGAAGACAATGATAACCCAGCTGCGGCATGATCCCACGTTGCCGGTGATGGCAACAAAGATACAATGGCACGGGCCTTGGGCTGCTCGCTGGTGTGGACGAGATAGTGGTTTGTTTTTCGTGTTCGTGAAGCATTATCATGTACTGGCCGAGGAGTTCCTGCCGTCAGGTCTTCCTCTCGTTGAGAAAGGTCGCGCTCCAGGTAAATATGATGCTATCACGGGCTTGACAGAGCTGACACTTATAGGCTTCATGTTGGTTCTGGCCCAAGTACTTACAGCGCTCGATGCAACTGTCCATAGACAGCCAGCAGCTGATCCGTTACCAATCACGTTCGACGATGTTCTTGCAGGTGCCGATGCGAGTGCTGCCGCTCTTCCCTTGCCATCGACCAACTCTGCGAGGCTCATGGCTGAAAACCGCCTGATCATGCTGTTGCGAGACTTCCTACCAGAGAAACCCTCGGATTGTAATGCTGCGCGGAAAACTTTTGCTGAGGCGTTTGGGAAGATGATGAAAGCCTCGGCCGCAAGAACGTCTCTGTTTGACCACAATTCTTGCTTTGTGCTTCTGGACTTCGCCGAGGAAGCATTAAACATCTATGTTCGATTTTCATATGCGCATGATCTTGAGTGGGATTACATTGATTGGCCGTTTTGGTTGACTGTCTGCAAGAAGATGCTGGAAAGCCAGAACACCATGTCAGAGATACGCCTTTTCGCCTTTCTCTATGGTTCTTGGCATCTGATTACAGCTGATGAGCGTCGAAAGGAGATCATGTGCTTGCAGTGGCTGTTGTCGGAAGAGACGTTCGATAGATTTTTTAACCATTGGTGTCCAATGGTCAGAGCGTACTTCATGCGGCTTTTGTGTTGGCGACTCTGTCGGGACGAAGGAGAAGCCAGTGACTTGGATACGTAAGTGTCGTGTCAATACTTTGTAGGTCTCGATTGACAAAGACAGGAAAATATTCTCGAGGCTATCTATCCGACTCAAATCTAATTGGGCACATCACCTCTTTCTCAAACAGTGTGCCGAAGAAGCACGCATCCTTCCACCATCGACAACACCATGCTGTCCAGCTCCCGGCCGACGTCTATTGATCATTCGAAACGACAGCCAGATACAAGCTGCAAGTCTCCTTCTCGGATTTGACGGTATTGTCAACTCATTGTCTTCCCAAGGAACCCCCGGTGCCAACCTAGCCGCGGCATCAACGAGGTCATCTCTTGCTGCCACCCCCCAATCTGAGGCTGCAGATGCTGCTGTCAAAGCCAAGATCTTAAGCGACCCATCACCTCCCGCGCCGAACAAGAGACGATGGACATTCCTGGGCAAGGCCATCCCCATCCCCTCATCCTTCACCTCTACCCCCGAGACTGATCCCTCCGAGGCCCGGGCCTCCAGCCCAACAAATTCACTTGAAGAAGCCCGACTACAGACAGCAACCGCTCGTTCCCGGCCAACGATGCACTCCAAGACCTCCAGTACCGACAGCGACACACCACCTGCAACATCCACACACCGCGTCTTTTCCTTCAAGTTCTCGCTAGAATGGTCGCAGCATTTCGAAAAACCAGCCAGCAGCTCTCCCCAACAGGGCCCTCGCATGGCACCAGGCTCCGAACGCCGCATGATGCCTCCACGCCTCCCAACACCGGCTCAAGCTTGGATAGGCGCTAAAGTGCCAGGCATGAGTCAGGAGATCGCACCTAGGGATCCGAAGCTTGATGATCTCCCTGGGGGCGAGAGGGTGAGGAGAGCCAAGTACGCTGGGCGGGCGCTCGCGGAGTGGGCTCTTGTGGTAGTGGAGTGCAATAATTTCGTAGATAGACGGAGAGCCGAGGGCGTACCGGGGTTGAAGTGGGTAGAAGTACCCACTTTAGGTGTCGAGGGGTTTAGACGCTTCAATTGAGAACCTGGCCCATACGCCGCTGGGCGTAATTAGTATTAGAGAACACAAACAGCTGTGGAGGGGGGGGTGGGGGGTTCTTTCTTCGTCGATTGCATAGCCTTGGCGTCTGGATCGGCTGGTCTGGCTACCACTTGTTTTCCCGGTGTCGACGGGACAGATGTATACTCGGTCGCGTCGATACTCCGCGACTGAGGGGAGATATCCGATTTGAGTCAAATGTTCATTGAATAGGCGGCTGGATAGAAGGGGATCAGTTCGAGGATTTCCGTTCTCAGGGTGTGAATAGGGAGGGGCAAGCTGTAGAATGGATTGGGAGGGAGAAGAGCGAAGAGAAGATGGTGCATGCATACAGACATGGATGGAAATGTTGATGGCCGGAGCCGTCACTTTCATTGAGTCCTGGGCGTGGTCACGTCTCCTTCGCCTGGCTGGTAGATTTCCTGTCGATTCAGTAGTCTCAAGCCTTCTAGCAATCAACCACATCGGTGCTCTCTTGAGAAAAGAGTCTTCTCGGGGATTATTATTATTATTATTATTATTTTTCTGGGTAAAGTGATTTTCAAGGATTGAAGTTATGACAGAATGACATGAAGACTGAGGTCGTACGTATATTTCAAAGCACTTCACGTTGCGTCTCGAAGTGATAATACGACTTTGAACTGAGATCGATCCCATCTCAAGCTTTTGAGCAATTGTATCGGTGCTCCTGAGAAAAGATTCCTCTTGGTGTATCCTTTAAGGATCGAAGCTATAAGGGGATAACCTAAAGTCTAAGGACGTATATTTCAAAGCAGTCAACCCCATTCTCGAAGTGACAAGTCGACTTTGAACTGATACTGCCAATCTGGTTTCTAGCAGCTACACCAGTGTGCCTCGTGGTTGATTCTGGACCAAGAGGAGGTACGATATCATATCCAATCCCGGCCTCTACTTCTGCTCGGGCCAGACGTCGTACCCAAACGTGTCCTTCATATTCACAAACCTGGTCGAGCGTCCTTCGGCAATCTTGTTGACCTTTTCAAAGTCCGCGTCGGTCAAGGTCACAAGCTGTGCATTCCCTTTGATCCTGCTCTCGTTGCTGCTCTTCGGGAGTACCACGTATCCCCTCCTCAGGCCCCAGGCAATCAACACCTGCGCCAGAGTGCATCCTTTGGCCTCCGCCACGGCAATCAAATCCTTGTTCGTGCTGACCTTCTCTCCCGTCGCGGGAACCTGGTCTTGGGATCCGAGAGGCGAGTAGGCGACGGGTAGGATGTCACGAGACTTGCAGAAATCGATCAGGGCTTTCTGGGGAAGGAAGGGGTGGATTTCGACTTGGTTGATGGCGGGTTTCACGCTTGCAAATGAGAGGATCTGGGTGATGCCTGCTTCGGTGAAGTTGGAGAGACCGATAGATTTCGCGAGTCCGGCGTTGTAGGCCTTCTCCATGGCGCGCCAGGTCGGCTCGGGGTTGCTGGTGAGGGCGTGGTTGATCACGTACTGGCGAGTGTTAGTGGGGGTGTAGGATGAAGGATGCCTTCGAAGTGTATTCGTTCCCCCCCTCCTCCTTCAGTCCTGTGCCACGATGGAAAGTGTTCGAAACATGGATTCTAGGGGAGGGCCTCGGGAAAATGTCTCTGGGGGAGGGGGGTATCTATCTGATGAACACGGATTTCGTACCTTGCCATCAGGGCCTATCTTGACACTTCGATCCTCGTTTTTCTCGGATGCTATGGGCCAATGGATCAAGAAAGCATCGACATACGTGGTTTGCAGTTTTGCCAGCGAATTTTTGATGCTCCATTCCACATCTTCGGGCTCGTGCAAGTGATTCCAGACCTTGGTGCAGATGAAGATATCCTCTCTCTTGACGGAGGGATTGGCGGCGAGGAACTCGCGGATGCCAGTGCCGACCTCGTCCTCGTTCTGGTAGAACCAGGCGCAGTCAAGATGACGGTAACCGGCGTTCAGGGCATGGATGACGGCTCTATGAGTCTCTCCTTTGCTGCCTTCGTTGGCGAATGTGCCAAAACCAAGAGCGGGGATCTTGACGCCGTTGTTGAGGGTCAAGATAGGACCTGTTACTGCTGGGGATGCCATGGTGGGTGTAGGTTGTGGTATGTGGTATGTAGTATGTTTTTGATTTTTGATTTTTTTATATTTGAGAGAAAGTATAAAAGGGAGAGAGAGAGAAAGAGGTTGGAAGAGAAGGGGGGTATCTAGATCGCTTGTCACGTGTCGCTAAGCACATCGGTCGTATATCATGAATAAATATCTCACGTTTCACTTTTTTACTTCTTTTTTTTTTTCTTCATCATCGGGTCTCTCAAACAGCACACACTCACCCTCCCACCTACGGTACGGGCCGATGACGTTGCTGAGATCCTCCGTCCATCTCGATTCACGGTGAAGGAATACAGGAATAAGTGCCCTGCAAGAGTGAAAAGGATGCCTTTGAAACCCCTTCCTTGGCCAGTCCATTGTGAAGATAGGGGTCCAGTCGGATAGAGTTCGGTGGATGAGATCAGAAGAGGTGGATCAGAGTAGGTGGATGGATGATGACATTTGCCCCAAAAATGAGAAGGAAAAAAACCTCATATACGGGAGTAGTTGTACTTCCCGGCTCCCAGTTCCCAGTTCCTGGATGCAGGGTTCGATTCTACAAACCTGTTAATCAAGAGACTTGACAAATAGCCCTGGACCCGACGATCCGCTTTTAATAATGACTTCTGTCCGTCATCGAGCCCCAAAAAAGAACAAGAAACACTGGGACTTCGAGAGATGTCAGTTTATCCGAATTTTCCTTTTCGATGGGTACATAAATGACATTACCTGGACCCTCCCCTCGTACCATGGATTTTCTGTCCTGCATCACTTAACTCTCCTACCCCGACCATCAAAGCCTCAAAGCCCTCTCCTACGTATACCATCTGGTATTGACTTTCGAATTTCCTATCCTGAATCTATTTGCCTCAAACATGCCTGCTTTCGAAGACTCGAGCTTTGGCGTCGACGCCAAGTCGTCAGAGGCACAACTCGCCCACCTCCAGAAAGTTGTCGGCAATGGCTCTTCAAACAGGTTTCCCGAATCTCTCTCCGTTCCGTCAGAGAGCGGGTCAACGAACGGCTATGGCACTGCCAACACTATCGAAGTGCCCGCCTCGAGATCCTCCATCGCGGAGAGCGAGGCCCTGATGCATTCTCTGAGCAAGGCCCCATCTCAAAGAGACCACAGGCAGTCTCGAAACAGCTTTGGAGCTTCATTGCCAATCCCAAGATCCAAGCGTCAATCGCGGCTCTCCACTGTATCAACCGCAGATGGCAAGCCAACTAGACCTGGGATGCCCGTTGTCCAGCCAAGCCGCCACATCCTCTCGAGCCAAGTCCAGGACATGTTCGCGGCCAAAACCGCCGCAGCAAAGAACATGGCCTTCGCCTTTGACATTGATGGTGTTCTCGTCCACGGTGATCGTCTGATCAAGGAGGGCCAGCAAGCCCTCGAGATCTTGAACGGCCACAACGAGCTCGGCATCAAGTTCCCACACATCTTCCTCACCAACGGGTCTGGCAAAGTGGAAGACGCCCGATGTGCGCAACTCTCCAAAATCCTTCAGAACCCCGTGTCTACGGAGCAATTCATCCAATCTCACACCCCCATGTCCGCCTTGGCCGAGTACTACGATACGGTCCTCGTCGTAGGAGGCGAGAACTACCAGTGCCGAGAAGTCGCCAAGCTGTACGGCTTCAAGAACATCGTCGTCCCCAACGACATCTACGCATCTGACGAGACCATCGCACCTCTCCGGGAGCACTTCACCCCCGAGCAGCGCAGCACCTCGTCCCCCCGGGATTTCAGCAAGGTGAAGATCAACGCCATCCTGGTCTTCTCCGATTCCCGCGACTACGCTACCGATCTTCAGATCATCATGGATCTCCTGCAATCCGACGAGGGTGTCCTCGGCACCAAGACCAAGGACCCAACCAAGCAGAGCATCCCCATCTATTTCTCTCAAGGCGATCTCCTCTGCCCAACGGAGCACCCCACTCCCCGCATGTCCCAAGGAACCTTCCGTATCGGTCTGGAGGCCATCTACAAGGCCGTGACGGGCCACGAGCTCGAGCGTATCGTGTACGGCAAGCCCGAGACGGCGACCTACAAGTACGCCGACGAAGTCATGACCTCGTGGATGGACACGATCCACGGCGAGGAGAGACTGCCCGAGAACATCTACATGATCGGGGACAACCCTCAGTCGGATATCATCGGTGGCAACAAGTACGGGTGGAACACGTGTCTCGTGCGGACGGGCGTCTTCCAGGGCGGGGCGAACGACGAGACGAACCCGGCGAACTTTGGTGTCTTCACGAACGTCCTGGAGGCTGTCAAGGCCGCGATCCGCAAGGAGCTGGGCGACGACTTCAAGTTCGAGTGGAATGATAGCATGAACCCTGTGACGGCGGGACACTCGATCTCTGCCATCGAATAGATGTGCTCTTGGGAAATGATGCGACGAATTTTCTTGCCCTTCACGTACACCGGATCTGTTTGATGGCTCTGCATAGTGTGGCGTAGCAGACAAAGAGATAGATAGACAGATGGATGGATCCAGACGGACAGACTAGATAGATTCCTTCCTCCTCTTTTAGGATAGACATGTTGGCGTCGAGTATGCCATTGAGCTCTAGCTCGACAACGAGTTGAGATTCCAAGAAAAAATTATATATATATACCTACCTATATATATATATATATATATATATATATATATATATATATATGTAACTTCGACTAGATGGGAATGGGGGACGGGTGGGAGGCTACGATTCTTTCTTTACCTGTACGAGGTACCTCCTACGAACCTTCAGCTCTGCTCTCTCCTGCGGCGGTGAGGCAGAGAGTCTGGAAAGCCGAAATTGAATCATCGATACTGATACGTATGCGGGAACTCCTTTTCGAAGAGAATTATTTTATCCCTTACCGGCGGTTCCGTTCCGGACCTCTTTCCTATCCCGACCACTACGCCGACTACGATATACGGAGTATACCTGACGGGCAGACAGATTTGAAAAGACTCCGTAGGTCCGTAGGAGGATTTACGATAATTGCGAAGTGATCCACCATCTTCTCGCCTACTATTACGAGAGTGAAAATCAGGTGAATATGGCGGGCCGCCTCACACTTTTGAGGGGGAACGGGGTATAAGAGATTGGAAGGAAGAGCTTAGTTTGATTGATCGGAGATACGGTATTGCACTTTCGAAAGAGCGCTTTGCGAATATAACGGCTCGGTACCTACCAGAGCTACGAATGCGAGCCTTTCTAGATTTACGATAAGGAGGACGAGAACGATGTTTATACACTTATACGGACCGGGGCTGCTCGTAAGGGCCACGCGTATTGGACGGTGACGTCGGTGCAAATTCTTTAAAATGCTTTGAAAAGGTTTACAAGGAGTTTGCGATGCCGCGGGATCGAAAATCCTGAGGCTATTTGAAAGAGAGCTTTTATTTAACGTGGTTTTTACTTTCGATTGGATAGTATTGTGTGTATAATTCTATTACTTAGCACGTCGCCGTACCTCATTGGAGGTCATAAGGTCTAAGCATTGTGTTTTGGATACCCGCCCGACGTTAGTAAATACGTAGTAGGTACTACAACAACAACTAGAAAGTAGGGGTGAGGGATGAAACGGGCGAGTCAGTGGCTTGCAGAAAGATCTCGCCTAAGTTCGGGGGAAATGTTTGTAGATTTTGACTTGGACTTGGACTTGGACTTGCTTGGACTTTGAATGTTTGGGGCATGTCTGTATGTACTTTCTATTCGGGTCAGGCGACCCAAAAAGCTGGTGATTACCTTTATCCGAAGAATAGACAAGGGGCAGAGCAGAGATAGAAAGATTTGGTCTCTTTTAAGACTGTACTCCGTAAGGATGTAAGGAGGCCCACCTAAGCGAGCCGACGATTACTTACCTTATTGAAAGCTCAGACAGACCCGCGAGAGGGAAGCTGATAAGTTGGACTTGGTAATCCTAGGGATCATTAAGAGAGAAGAAAAAGATTGAAGGAAGACAGAAGGAAGATAGGAGGAAGATAGAAGGAAAATAGAAGTACCGTATCAATGTTATTTTTTCCCTTTACGCAGTAATGAAGAATGGAAGGGGTAGTATTGCCAGCGGTGAAGTTCTCCTGACGCTCCCGGGTTGACCGCTGGTGTCGACGGCCACGGGACTAAACCTGATACGAGAGACGTCCGGACATACATAGTCTTTCCCCCTTTTTATTTTCGCTCGGGACATGGACCATCAGCTGGTAGATTTCCAAGAGGGGGAGTAGTGTAGTGTAGTGTAGTGTAGTGTAGTGTAGTGTAGTGACGAGGAGGAGGACTTGGACAGATCGACCGGGCAGTGTTTGGGAAGGATGAGTTGGCGAGGCCGAGAGCCCATGAGAGTAAACAATACTCCGACATAGTAAATAGATGGATAGGTAGATGGTTAGACGATTACCTAGATACATAGACAGGTAAAGACCAATTTCAACTTGGCAGTCTCATCTCGTCTCGTCTTTTGCTCATGGGCGCAACACATCACTTGACGAAAATCATTAAATCAGTCAATGATAAATCAATAAATAAATGAGTAAATATACACGCTCGCCCAGTCCCCTATGCCTTGACCGCCAAGGCACACTCAGCCCGGCTATTCAAATCCGGCAGGGGTCAAGCCGCCGCCACCTTTCTGATGCGACATCCGATAGTCCAGCACGGGCGATTCCATCCTCACCACCTCTCTCTTTACCTTCTACATTTCACCCTCCACCTAACCCAACCCGACTCCCTCTTCCCGCCCACCCTCTACGACGACGACGACAACAGTCGAGATCCGAGATTTGAGATTCCCTCCTGCACTGAATCTGCAACTTCATCCTCGAGTCGGTGGGACAATGACCTGCGACAACAGCTCCATCCGCACACAATAGAACGACGCTCGTTACGAATCCCCCGCCAGCTACGACGAAAAGCTACCTCTCACAGTCTTTCACTCTTTTACTCTCTTCTTACGACTCCTCCTCGACAGGGAACCATCAGCGAAATCGGTAAAGCAACAAAAAAAGAGAGAGAAGCGACGTTTCCAGACGAAGAGCCGCATTCACTACTGGGCTGCATTGATTATACATTGAGGGCCGACCCCGACTGAAACACTTCTTCTCGAGATTTTCACTGCTGCATATTGATACAGTGACTCGCGACTCAAAGCATCTCGAAGTGCAAAAGCCTGATTGTCACATTGAATACCTGGTCACCCGTGTGTAACGGTGCTCGGTGGTGCATACATCAGGATCATCGAGCCTCCATTTCTCCATTCCGCAGGTCGAGTCTGATCATCCTCCAAGGCCCTCGAACCGATACCCGTCCTCGAAAAGAGCCACTTGTTTGATGAAAGCGTCGCAACATCTTCCGGAGCATCTTCAACCTCCTCACCTATCGATTACGCCATTCACTTCAAGCCCAAGCCTCCCCTTCCGCCCCAAAATACCATATCAAACCATGGATGGCTTCGGGAAACCCATGAGTCTGACCGAGCGTCGAGCCTCAATGCACAACTTCGACGATGGCGATCTATCCCCAACCCGCGCCACACTAACCCTTAATACCAGCTCAAGCAATGCTCGACTGCCATCTCTACTGGACGGGATAGTACAATCCCGTCGTCGAGCACCCCCAACGCCCAACATGATGACTCCGTCCGCAGATCCAGACTCGCCTACGCTCTCCAGCCATGATCCCCCGCCCCCTCCTACGCCTGCTGCGAGTCCTGGACCCGACGCCCGAAATCAGCCGAACTGGAAGGATGCGGGAGATCATGAGGATGCGTTTTTGTCCAAGATCAGATCGCATTTCAATGATGCCTCGTCGGCAGAACGACATAGGATATTGGCTGATCTGCTGAATCTGTGTTCAAGTCAGCAGTTGAGTTTCGTCCGGCAATATGTAGATCCGTTGCTGAAAAAGGATCCGTTTACGAGTCTGCCGACCGAGCTCTGCTTAAGGGTATGCTCATATTTTATGTATTCTGTGGACTTGACGTGGCTAATCAAAGCAGGTTCTGGCCTGTATTGACGATCCGAAAGTCCTAGCCCGGGCCTCACAAGTATCGCATCGCTGGAGAGAATTACTCGCAGATGACGTGACATGGATGAACCTGTGCGCCAAACACGATTACGGGCGTAGAATATCGATATCAGAACATCTGATCAACACCCCTCCCTACTCGACCTTCCGACCACCGCTCAACCCTATCCAAAATGTCCAGCTCCAAGACACGCATGTCAAATCCTTCCTTGGCGCTGCGGGACCCTCATCCTACACGTCGTGGAATGCCGGTGTATCAAAAAGCTTTGATAGTGCCACAAGTTCGGCTGCCCTTCGGAGACCAAAGATCAGGTCGTACAAGTCGCACTTTAAGCAACGATATTTGGTAGAGACGGCTTGGAGAACTGGCGGAAATCATGTCGCGAAGCATATCACACAAGATCAGGGAGTGGTGACTAGTTTGCATCTCACGCCGAAGTATATTGTGGTTGCGTTGGACAACGCCAAGATCCATGTCTTTGATACCAACGGCTCAAACCAAAAGACGCTGCAGGGCCATGTAATGGGTGTCTGGGCTATGGTTCCTTGGGATGATATCCTGGTTAGCGGTGGGTGTGATAGAGACGTTCGAGTGTGGAATATGGCCACAGGCGAGAGCGTACATACTCTCCGGGGCCACACTTCCACCGTCCGGTGTTTGAAGATGTCAGACTCGACGACGGCAATCTCTGGGTCGAGGGACACCACGTTGAGAGTTTGGGATATCAAGACTGGGCTGTGCAAGAACGTGTTGGTAGGTCATCAAGCGAGCGTCAGATGTCTGGAGATCAAGGGCGACATTGTGGTCTCTGGCAGCTACGATACGACGGCGAGGGTTTGGAGTATTTCCGAGGGGAGATGTCTGCGAACACTATCCGGGCATTTCTCCCAGATTTACGCCATTGCGTTTGATGGGACGAGGATCGCTACGGGTAGCTTGGATACGAGTGTGCGGATATGGGATCCAAGTAATGGGTATGACTTCCCCTCACAGAAGAGAAGAGACGATAGGAAACTAACACCCGCAGATCCTGTCAGGCAATTCTTCAAGGTCACACCTCTCTCGTCGGACAACTACAGATGCGTGGGAACACCCTCGTAACAGGCGGCTCGGACGGCTCAGTACGAGTCTGGTCGTTGGAAAAGATGGCACCGATCCACCGTCTCGCAGCACACGACAACAGCGTTACAAGTCTGCAATTTGATGACACCCGGGTCGTAAGCGGAGGCAGCGACGGTAGAGTCAAAGTCTGGGATCTCAAGACGGGGCAGCTGGTTCGAGAATTGACTGCCCCGGCGGATGCGGTATGGAGAGTGGCGTTTGAGGAGGAGAAGTGCGTGGTAATGGCTAGTCGGAACAATAGGACGATCATGGAGGTGAGTTTCCTTATCCTTCCTTCTTACAAGCCATAATCTAATCCCGAACCGTGCAGGTATGGTCTTTCTCGCCGCCCGACGAGGCCCTCTATGAATCAAACATTACAAATGTGCAACGCAGTCTCCTCAATGCAGGCCCCCCTCGCCCTCAGTCTGCGATCGAGTACAAGATGTCGAATGTGCAGGACCAAGCAATGAGCGGCAATGACGATGTGGGTGTGGGCCTGTCGTACGGTATTGGGCGGCATATTGAGGATGTGGATATGCTCGACCCGGTTCCTAACACGGCGCCGCTCGTGGGGACGAGGGGCCAGACGTTCTTTCGGGATGATTGAGGAGTCTCGGCCACTTGGAGGGGTGGTGGAATTGAGTTGAATGGAGTTTTTGTTGGGCTTGGCCTCGGTCCAAAGGGGGAGGGGGAACAGAAAGCCTTCGTCGACGAGAGCGATCTTGGCCAGCGCCCAATGCCCGTCCGTCTAGTTGCTACCTCAGCGCGATAGGAGAGCGAGCGAAGAAACACCTAATAAAGGCAAAATGCCGCCGGATAGCGAGTCCGATCATCAATGATGAATGAGCCTGTCAGAAATAAAGAGAGGGAGAGAGCACAAACCCTAGCATTGTACCCGCATTTCAAGGCGCTTGCTTTATTTTTTCTATTCGGATCCCTTTTTCTTTTTTTTTCTTTCTTCTTTTCTTTTTCTCTTTCTTTTTGGGGTTTCCTTTCTTTCGGTTACGCATTTACGCATGGCATGGGATCTGGGATTTGCGGTGATGACGTGATGGTGACGGTGATGGTGATGGTGACCGGCTCGGGAATGGAATGGGAAGGCAATGGGAAGGGAATCAACTGGCCTGGCCAAGGGGATAGATACATATAGGGAGATGAGGATGAGGATGAGGACGAGGATGATTAAGAACAAATGTAAAACGAATTGGCAAGAGACGGACGGAAGGACGGACTGACTGACTGACTGACTGACTGACTGACTGACTTACCTGGATGGATAAATGGAACGTTGGGGAGGGAGGGGGAGGAAAGGTGAGCGAGCGAGCGGTTTGTGATGGACTGGTTATACGGATCGAAGCCGCTCATAAGGCTATACGTATTTAATAATTACGGAGAAGAAAGTCGGTGCACATCATCATGAATTGCTTTTAAACGGTTTATCAAGAGTTTGCGATACCGCGAGATTCCACGACCCGGGGCTATCTGCAAGAGAGCTTTTCCCCAAGGCGGTTTTGACTCTCGACTGGATAGTACTTTGTATAGAACTCCTCTACTTCGCACGTCGCCGTCCCTTATAGGAAGGAGATCCCAGGGCGGCAGGTGTCGCTTGCTACCCGCCCGACGGTAAATACGTAGTCAATACAATAACAGTAACAACAACTACCGGTAGCGACCTGGACGGTACTGTATTCACACAGCCCCGTGGTGTGCACTGTGGAGCGGGGGTGGAAGCGCCAATGTTCGGAGGATTCCCGGAAGCTCATACGGTAGTGACCGATAAGCTTTTTGAGCTTATTTGAGTGCTTTGCTCTGTCATCAAGCGCGATAAGTCAGCGACGGTACCGGTAGCTGATGCTCCTTGGCCCCGTTTACAATATTAAAAAAAAAATGTATTGTCTGGGGCTACTGATATCAGGTTCCCTCTCTCCTTCGTCCAGTTCGAGGTTGTGTGTGTTTTTTTGTTTTTGTTTTTGTTTTTTTTTCGCGCCTTCTAATCCTGGCCGAGGCTCACAGCTTAACCGCACCTATTATGTAAATCCCTTCAAACCAGAGCGGCAGTTTAGCCGCCTGGAGATTTCGGCCGTGCTTGCTTTCGTATTGATCTACTACGTAGTACAGTAGTGTCTCAATGCCCGCTCGCTCTCTGGATACTGCTGCTGTGACACCCCGACAATGGAAAACATCGTGAAATACCGGTACCCGAGTCGCTATACGTACCGCACACTCACACTCCGTATGAGTACCGGTACAGCCTCGACGTGCCTGCCGATCAGCGACTCCCGTAAATGAGGAATACTGGGCGCAAGCTTGGCGGCGCCGTATCGCTCTCCCACCTTCCAAGATCAGCGGTGCCCGAGGGGCCCGACAAACTCGTGTCGCTGCACCGGGTCGCTCTTTGGAATTCGGGGGTTTGGGCAGACGAGACGAGAGGGAAGAGAGCATTCATCCCCTGCGCCTTTTTTCGCGGGGCTTGAATTTATCATCTGCGCAGAGAGTTTTCGCATATCTATTTTTAAACGACCTGCATGTTGATCTTGCGGGCTTTCGCCCCTTGGAGAAGTGTGCTGCGACGAGCTACTACGTAGTAGTAGTACCACGGTACAGGCCTAAGTATTACCCCTCGAGGGTGCCTTAAAAGTTTAGTTTCCACTTTAAAACCCCTGTTTTCCCTACCCTCGAGGGGTAATACTTACGCCTGCGACGTAGTACTTAGTAGTAGTAGCTCTACTACCGGTACACCCCCATGAATACATGTCGAAAGTATAATATTGCAAGGGACCTTACGAGGTCTTAAACCAATCAACTTATAAGAATCCAGCCTTGAAAAGTATGTTTAGGTCAGTATTTAGTCTGTGCAATAGAGTTGACAGGGCTTTGAGCCATTCAGAAACTACTACTACTACTACCGCTCTATGATTTATGGGCCTAAACTACGTAGTAGATCCGACATGTATTCATGGGGGGGATAGTACAGTAGAGCTCTAAACTCAATTCAAATTGTCGGAATACGCGGCAGGTCGTAATCCCAGCACCCTCGTCAGTCTGTGCGATAGCGAATTGTTCACTCGGGGAAGGAGAGAATAGGAGGTGCTCCGCATTGATCGTAGGAACTCCCCAGCCACCTGCACGCACGACAATGTTATCCTCCTTATTTTCTCGGGTCAGAATACTTGAGAAATTCAAGGACCTTCTCCTGATACTGTTTTGATCAAGTCGCCAAGATGCGTCTTCAGCATGTCTCTTTTGCTTTCGCAAGCCTCTCGTCTCTCGCTTATGCATCCACAAGCGAAGAGCTTCTGTCGTTTCTCCAAGCTAATCCAGGGCAAAGATCTGTTGCCTCTACAGATGAGGAGTTTCTAGAATGGAAGAAATCAAGAGTCGAAACCATAGACGCACCTATAAGCCCCGTCGTTCCAAAGGCCTACATCATTCAACTAAAGCCTGGATCAAGCCTCACCAAACGAGATCAAGATGACCACTCCCAATTCCACAAGCGAGCCTCGACGATCGACTACTCAACCCGTCGGGAGTTCAAGAATCCAGATCTGTTCTTCGGCCTCTCAATTCAGGTCAACGACGACGCGAACGAGACTGCGATCCTCGAAATTCCGGATGTTGTGAATGTATGGCCTGTCAAGATAATCCCGAGACCGCCGATCCTTGAACTTTCCGAGTTTCCCGAGATTCTTGAGCCCGCATCGGTGGTGAGAAATGCGGTCGCAGAAATACCAGGGAATCTCTCCGCGATTGCGGGCCCTAGAGCAAATATCAACTCCCCTCACCGACAGACCGAGGTCGATCGACTTCATGCCTTGGGGATCAAAGGTAAGTGGAACCATGCATCGATTCTGCTCTCCCGCTAAGCCGTGACTTCTAGGCAAAGGGGTTAAAATTGCTGTCATGGACACTGTGAGTTCTCGAGGGACCAAGTCCCCTCCGATTCTGTTGGGGATCATACGCTACCTAGATCGATCCCCAAGACACCCGAGTAGATTATCGCTGACTCCCTTCATATAGGGCATTGACTATCGGCATCCAGCTCTCGGAGGCGGCTTTGGTCCAGGCTTCAAAGTATCCTTCGGCAGATCGTTCGTCACTGACGATTCTGATGAGGAAAGCAACGATCCGCTCGCTACCTGTGTCAGCGGAGGACATGGAACCCAGTAAGTGACCAAATGTTCTATCTTTGTCATATCCTTCTCGCGAGGCCTTTTCGATTGGGACACGACTGACTTGGCGGTAAATCTAGCGTAGCAGGTATTACGACAATTCGTCAGACCCTGCGAAGCGGCTCCGTAATTCTGACATCTTCTAGGGATCATTGGTATGCAGGATCCAGCCAATTCAACTTTTGGACTTGTTGGCGTTGCTCCTGAAGCCGAGCTGGGAGCGTATCGTGTCTTTGGCTGCAGTGGTAGCGCAGCTCAAGACGTCTGTAAGATATTTGGGGATACATCACTTCTTTTTTCATACCTTCTGACCGCGAGATAATTTCAACCCCCCCCCCCCCCCCAAAACTTCTCCGCATGGCACGTACTAACTTGCTCGTCATCCAGTGATGAGAGCATTTGAGCAAGCTGCTATTGACGAAGTCGACATTTTGAGCACATCGTTGGGAGCTTCACGACCATGGGAAACAGATGAGCCATTTTCAATCATCACTGCTGGCTTAGAAGCAAGAGGTATTGCTGTTGTCGCAGCCATTGGCAATAATGGTCGATCTCTGCCCGCCACACCTGGGACTCCCGCGGTTGGCCAGAAGGTCATCGCCGTCGGTTCGATAGCGAACAGCCATTATCCAACCGTCTACGGTGGGAGGGACTCCCGAGGGCGCTCCTTCAAATACTCTGGAAGCCCATTCCCCCTCCAAGCCCCAGCAGCTGGGCTCATCGTTATCGACTTTGCCACACTCGCTGCAAATTCGACGTCACCTTCAGGATGCGTGGCTGCTGGCTGGAAGACTCTGAACGAGTCGATTATCAATAAAGAGGAAACGATCGTGGCGGTGCCATTTACTACAGAATGCACTTCGTCCGTCATAGTCCAGAACTCTCAGAACCATGGATTTCCAACGACAGTTATGTACGCGAAAGGAGCGCCAGTGGATGTGTATGTTCAAGACTACCAAGCTTTCATTCTCAACCTGCCGTATCAAGGTATGCCACATAACTCGTATCCCGTATGTGCACCGCCAATTTGCTAATTTCGCGAAGCTATTACCCTCAACCAAGTGGATAGTGAAACTCTCATTGAAGGTCTCACTCTTTCTGGGCCGAAAAAATACAGGTTATTCTTCAACTCGGGCGTCTTTGAATCGAGCCCGCAGCTTACAGGAGGATTCATGTCGAACTTTTCATCCTGGGGTCCTACGATGGACACGTTGGCTATCAAACCACAGATTTCTGCCCCCGGAGGATCGATTCTGTCGACTTGGCCATTACTTGGGAGAGGCTACGGTATCATGAGTGGAACCTCCAGTACGCGTTGTACCTCGCCGTGACTCTCTGGCCATGGCAAGCTGACATACATGACAGTGGCCACTCCTTACGTCGCAGGCGCTCTGGCTCTGCTGAAATCTCAGTTTCCTGATGCTACCGTACAGCAGCTGAGAGAGAGGCTCCAGAGCACCTCTCAGTCTGTTAATTATATATATGAGCAGTCGCTCAAGACGTCCATAGCACAGCAGGGTGGTGGAATGATAAATGTAGGTCAGCTCCCGGGTCACGTGGATCTCGCTTACCTATTAGGTGTACAATGCCATGTTCTACGAATCTACAGTCTCGCCCTCTGAGCTAAATCTTGGAGATCTGGATGACCTCACGTCTCCGCGCGAGATCACTATCGACAACTCTTCAAATCGAACCAAGACCTATGGTGAGCGAGCCTCTTTGCCCAGCCCGTCCGGTACATGCCTTTACTGATGAAAAGAAAGAAATTTCTCACGAACCAGCGGGACTTGTAAACGTAGTGCCATACAATCTCAGTTCTACGGGTCCTCTGTGGGGCCAGAATTTCTTCGGCGGCCAATATCCTTTTTACGCATCCGTAAAGTTGTCGGAGACAACAGTCACCATCCCCGCCGGATCCTCCGCAAACATCACCATAAGCTTCGACCCACCACAGGACATGGACCCGCTGTTCCTACCCGTCTACTCCGGCTTCATCCGCATAAAGAACAACAACGACGACTACGACGACAACCTCCGCGTCCTCTACCTTGGCCAGCCATACTCGCGCTTCAACGCCTCATACCTCGACACCTCATCCAAGAGCGGCGTCGAATGGCCCGGCCTATTCACCTACAGCAGCCCCAACATCCTGACGCGGGTCGACAACGGCATCGCCAACTTCAGCTTCGGACAGCAGGGCTTCGGCGCCCCCGCGATGCAGTGGATGACGCAGCAGAACAGCCAGGGCTACCGCGTCGACATGGTGCCCTACAACACCACCTTCGTCCCGGACCACTACGGCTTCACCGCCAACGCGTCCAACCCCCTCGGCGTGCCGGACGCCTTCCTGCCGCTCCGGTACCCCGCCCTGGCGATCAACGGCACCGAAGCCGGCGCCGCGATCTTCGGCATGGCCAAGTACGAACGTGAACTCCGGCGGGGGAGCACCCTGTTGATCTTACTCGATGGCTCGACCTACGATGCCGCCGGGGACCTGGTCGCGACCCTGCCCGACGGGGACTACCGGGCGCTCCTCAGGGTGCTGAAGTGGGGCGGCGACTGGGCGCAGGAGCACTCGTACGAGAGCTGGCTGAGTCCCATCATCCGGGGCACCAGGCATCCCCGAGTCGAGTCAGGAAACGAGAGCCGGTGATCCCCACTCCTTCCTTCTCCGGCCGGAATCAACCAACACAAAATACCCCCGTGCGCCTATCAATCTTACGCATCTTAAAAGTGGCTGGCTACACCCAGGCCCTGTGATGAGTGGCATGTACCTACGTCGGAGCCGCAACCGGATCTGCCGCCCTCGTCCCCTACTGTATCATCTTTCTGTACATAAGTACCTAGTAATAAGCATAGCTAATTCTCCTTCTTCTTCTTCTTCTTCTTCTCCTCGACTACGAGTCGGCTGGCTGGCGGTCTGCGTTCTCAAATCGACGCCAACCAACCTCAACCTCAGCAAGACAGGCCACGCCGTCTCTGTCTCTCTTTCTCTCTTTCTCTCTCTCTCTCTCTCTCTCTTTCTTTCTCTCTTTCTTTCCTTCTTTCTTCACCCCCAAGAACACACACAATTACTGTACCGTATCACTCGCTTCAATAGGTACCGGTAGGTACAGGTAGAACCTTGCTTGCTTGCTTGCTTGCTTGCTTGCCCGGTTACCGCACTACTACTACGAAATTTGTACAGTAGCTTGCTAAGCTTGCCAAGCTGGCCAGGTTAGAAGATCCTGAATGTCTGCGAATGAATGTCTGCGAATGAATGCCTGCGGAGCTGAGAACGGCTGGATCTGGATCTGGATCTGGATCTGGATACCTGGTGTAGTATAGTGTGGTAGTGTGGTGTAATGTAGTGTGGTATAGTGTGATAGGTATAGTATAGCATAGTATAGTATAGTAAATAAACAAGCATAGCTTCCCAAGCCCGAAACACACGAATCGCATCTGTAAGAACCTTACCTACCTAACCCTACGGGCGGCCGTGCGGACGTGCGGACGTGGCGCGGAGCAGAGCAGAGCAGAGCAGGGGGTTCAAGCTCCCAGACGACGCTCAGTTGTTGGAAAGCAGAGAGAGAGAGAGAGAGAGAGGTACCGGTAGTGCTTTCGCGCCCTGCCGCGATGGATGGATGCTGCGTTAGCGAAGGTGTACGGTACCGCTATACAACGTGCATATACTTACTTACTGCCTGCCTACTACACGAGACGATAGATTTTGGTACGATCGATTGAAAACCTTTTTTTTTTCTTCTTCCCCGTCCGTCTACTTAGACACTCTGCTGCCGGGAGACGCCTGCAAATGCTACAGGAAAAAAAAAAAAAAACAACAACAGCAGCAGAATAACAGATAACAATATATATATATTAAAACCCACATCTTCCCAACGCCCCGGAGCCCCCACTCCAAGAGGTGAAAAGCCGAGCTACGATCCCTTCATCACCACCCGCAGCCACCCGTCCAACTAGCTAGCATCGACGACCTCTCCAAACCAGCTCCGCAGCACCCCCGCCAACACCGCCGGCAGCTCCCTCACGTCGCCCACCACCAAGAAGTAGCGGAAGGGAAACGTCTCGATGTACCTTTCCATCTCGACCTTCCCATCCTGGAACTTCGCTTCCCGGATATCGAGGATGCTCTCGCCCTTCCGCTTGCCACGCACGTCGTCCACGATGACGAAGACCATCATGATGCGCTCTTCGAGCGCGGTGCGCAGCAGGCGGCGGATGGCGTCGTGCTCGGAGGAGTTGCACACGCCGTCGGAGATGATGAGTTGGATCTGCCACAGGTCGGCCGGGGAACCCGCCGCGCCCTGTCTCGCGGCGCGGAGCAGATTGATGCTCTCTCGCACGAGACTCGTGACGTCCGTCCTGTCCTGGCGGAAGGAGAATTGCGATAGGAGGTTTGGGCCGGCGTCGGCGCTGAAAGGCGTCTCGAAATCGTGCGCCACCTTGACCCTCTCCCCGAAGCCCACGACCGAGATCTGGCCAACTTCGAGCATGCTCAGGCTCTTGCTGACCATGACCAGCGTCTCGAGGGCGAGGGCACCGCTGCCGGACTCGCCCATGGATTTCGAGTCGTCCACCGCGAGCATGATTTGGTAAGAGCGTTTCGACGGCACTGAGCGCCGCATCCAGATCTTGTCGCGCTTGTACTGGGAGGCGATGTACGGGATGATGCGTTTGATATTCAGTCGCTTACCGGTGCGGAAGTCACCGCGCATTTTCGTTGCAAGGGTTGGAGCGAGGATGAGGCGAAGTTGTTCGGTGAGTGATAGGGAGAGGTCTCGAGTGAGGCCTTCGTAGTGCATCCATTGCGCGCGGGCATCGGAGGCAGATTTCAGGGTTAGAGAAGGATCGAGGTGCGTGCTTTCGAGTTCGCGGTCGACTTCCTCGACGTCCTCTTCGAGGTCTTGCACTTGAGCCTTGGGATCCAGGGTTGCGTCGAGGTCGGGATTGGACTGTTTGATCATTGCCCCGGCGCGACCCTCGTAGGCATCGGATTGCTCTTTTTCCTTTGGCGTGGAGGGCTCTTCGACGTCCATGCCATCGTGCTCGATGTCATCGGCTTGCACTTCATCGGGCTGGAACTCCTCTGGAAGCTCTTTGCTCTCTTCGTCGACTGCCATGCTTTCATCCAATGCCTTAGCCTGGTCTTCAGTAGCAGTACCGAGGGCTTGTGCATCAGCCTCTGCATTCTCATCTTGCAAATGCTGAAACTCAGATGTTTCTTTATCGACATCCATAGCCTCATCCTTGCCTTTTTCTTGATCCTTTCTCTCTTCAGGATTCCGAATCTTGGACTGCTGTCGGTGCCATCTCTCGAGCGCATCACCAAGCTTCTTGAACGGTTGAGCAGCCGAAGTGTCTTCTGTCTCGTCACGGGAATCTTGTGGTGCGTCACCATTGGCCTGTCGACCTTTCTCACCATCTTCAGCAGCGGCATCTTTCTGTTCAGAGGACTCGCCGCCCTCCCCACCGTCTTCGCGTTGGGCTCTGCTTTGCGACTCGGTCCTGTCGTCACGTGCGTTCTCTTCCTGGTCTTCGCCCACTCCTTGGACGTCGCTTGGAACGGCGTTATCAGCATCGGCATTCGCATGGTCATCGCGATCCCGCAGGAGACCTTCCTGTTTGTCAAGCTCTTTCTCTGCCGACTCTTCTTCAACCTTCTCGCCAGCCTCTTCGGTCTTTTCGCCTTCATCATTGTGCTCTTCGTCGAGGTCAACAACGTCCATCTCATCGTCGATTTGCTGATCCTCCTGTCCATTTGAATCTTCTTCTTCTTTTCCATCATTCTTCACCTCTTCCCCCTCCTCCTCTTTCTCTTCCCCCTCAACATCAGACAGGTCTCCCATCTCGTCATTGTCCGCTTTCTCACTGCCCTCATCCCCGTCCAAATCCATATCCTCGGGCAGATCCAAAGCCTCCCCCTCCTCAGCATGCGGATCATGTTTCTCAACATCGTCCTGCTGCTTAACATCCTCGCCCATTTCTGCTCCTTCTAGCTCCTCTTCCTCTTCATCTACTTCCCCTTCATCACCTTCCTCCTGCTTCGCCTGATTCTCCTTGCCATTCTCCTCCCCAGCAACCTGCTCATCCTGCTTTTGCTCTCCCTTCGCCTGATCCCCCTCCTGCTCCTTATCATTATCCTCCCCTCCCCCATCCCACATCTTCTCATCCACAGCGTTAGCATCAAGATCATCCACATCCCCGGCCTCCTCATCCATCTCATCCCCGCTCTCCTCATTCTCATCATCGCCGTCACCGTCTTCCTTCTCCTCCGCATCTCCCATTTCGCCTTCCATGTCGCCGTCCGCCATATCGACTGCATCCTGCTCATCTTCAATATCGCCTTTCTCTTGGTTAGGCTCTTGGGCCAGCTCGTCGAGGTTCTCGTCATCTTGAATGTCTTTGCTGATGTCTTCTGCGCCTTCACCTTCGCCGAGACCGGTTCCGCCTTCGAGTTTCTCCGTTTGACCATCCTGAGCAGAGGATTTCTCGGCGGGCGTGCAGAATCCTGATGTGGCGATCTGTGCGAAAGTTTTGGCGAGGATGTAGGAGGTTTTGCAGGTCGTGCGGTGGAGGTGCCCATAGCGAGTGACACTCTCTTGGAGAATATTGAGATATTGTTGGAGGATTGGAAGGGCGACAGCAAAGATTGCGCCGGCCGATCTGCTGGTGTGTTCATCTCCGAGGTTGACGCAGGGGAGGATATCGAAAGCCAGATCGAGCTGCTCTGATATGTTGTCGCTGTGAAGAGCCTTGATGGCAGATGAGAGACAAGTATTATTCTTAGTAAGCCAAACGGGGTCTTCAGTCGAGGTTGGCATTTCCGCAACAGCCTTCTTGTACTTCTCAATTGCAACAAGGACGGTGTCGCAGACTGTGGAGAGTTTCTGGTCGAGCTCTGCAGTGGTATGTGATTCCGGAGATCTAGGCTGGCTCGAGGTAGCAATGCCAACCCATGGCAGGATCTGCTTGACAACAAAAGCCAGATCAGGACGCTGCTTACTGATATCCGATAACTCGATCCTAAGTTGCTCTGCAGCATCCGTGATATTCTCCTCGAGCGCCATGGATTCCGTCGACACAATACCAGAAGGAAGCGTAGCAAGCTCATCCCACTGCCTCGCAAACTGCACAAACCGATCATTCCACAAAGCCAACATCCCAAGAACGTCCTTCGAATCAATCTTGCCCAGCTTGGCATGAACCGTGACCAGCTCCGCCGCGACTACCAGAACATTCGGCAACCATCTCAGCAGCTTCTTGTGGTTCGACGACGACTGTGATGCTCTAACTGTGTAAGAGCCCGGTGCCCAAAGACCCTTCACCATCGTGATCTTCGCTTCCACGGAAGTCATCCCCTTGAGAGCAGCAGCAAGTTCATTCCTCTGTGCCAAAATAACGTGAAGCAGACCTTCGAGAAACCCCGTACTCCTAGCCACTTCGGCACTACTTAAATCTTCAGAGTGCTGTCGTACAGCTGCTCGGACTCTCGGCGCCATCTCGACAGCTTTGTGGAAATAATACTCCATGCCCTCGACTTCAAGCTCGCTTACAACCCCGACACCAGCCAAGACCAGTGACAAGGATTCTTGTTGCGCGAGGACATTGGCGCCGAGGTTGTATTTGATGCCCATCTGGCGCAGCTCTTTCAGGGTTTCGGCGAAGAGCTTGCGTTTGCGGGATTTGAGATGCTTGACCTCGACTTTGTTATCTTCTGTCAGAGTTGAGGGCGTGGCTTTCTGGAGCTCCGCTATGGAGTCAATAATATTGGCCAGGAAGGACTCGAGATATAGCGAGGCTTCGATTGCGGAGGTTGGCAGCTGGGCGGTGTTGGCCATCATAGAGACGGTCTTGTTGACGTTAACAAATCGCTTGCTTTTAGTGGACCAGTCTGGTACAGAGCTGGCGCACAAGGCGAGAGCGGATTCGTCGACACCTGGAACCGGGGTAGACTTGATTTCGTTGAGTAGGGAAGTGGGTTCGTCAGGCAGCCCGCCTTTGAGCACAAACTCCATTGGCTGTCCAAGCAGCGAGCGAAACTTGCGTACGATCTTGAACAGCTTGTGGTGAGATCTCTTGGCACTATCTCGCAGTGCCACAATGTTCGTGTCCTTCCAGCTCGCAAGTAGCAAAACATCCTTCATAGCCTTTTCCAGCCCGGTTCGACCCTTCTTCAAGTGTTCCGTAACAGGCTTCTCATACCGCGCATATAGCGCTATGAAATTTGAAAGTGCCGCGTGGATAATGGAAAGATGCGGCATGTCAACAGCTAGCAACCCGACATGCTGACGTAACTGCTTGAGCAACTGTAGTCTTTGCACGAACTGGCCTGTAATAGCAGTCGAGAAATACGCTTCCAGATCCTTCAGCAATTTCTGCGCGTACACTTTGAGCTCCTCGGGCGAATCGGAAATCTGCAACGGCACAGCAACAACGACTTCATAAGCAATGAAGAACCAACTCCTAGCATCATCGTCGCAAGTCTGGCTCTCCATCTCAAACAGCTTTGCCCAAGTACTAAGCTCCAGTCGTCTCCAGCCGACGATCGTCTGAGTAAGCTTATCATACAGCTCCAAGGCAGAATTTGCACGACTAGCCCAACCGCCAAACTGCCATTCATGGATATAAGTATGTACTTTTTCAACCTTTGTTATAATCTTGGCGAGGGGCTCGATGTGGCGGAATTTCAGGAGCTCGGAGCACGCGAGAAGGACATCGGCGAGTGGTTGCATGTGTCCGATTTCGTCAACAGCTTGGAGGGCAACGAAACGCGCAATGATTTGTTGAATGAGGGTGACTAGCTGGCGGGTTTCGGGGAGGTGGGGTGAGGTGTAAAAATTGTAGTCTTCGGGGACGGTAGTGCTTGAATTCAAAGACTCGATTTCGTCATTGAGAAGAAGCAGCGTTCCAGGCAGCAGAGCTCTAGTCATCTTGCGCTCGGTGAATGCCGCGGTATCTTCATGCAAAGAACCAATGCGCCTAGAAATCTGGCGAATGATGGAAAGCATGCTATCTCTGGACTGCGTGTTACCCAAAAAGACCTCCGAGTGGACCTTTGATAGCCCAATGGCAGTCTCTCTAACACCGAATTGAGCGGGCGTGACGCCCTTTTTATCCGCAGTCTCGTCACCATAGGTCGGGAACAGATCGTTGAACTGCTCTTGATCGTCTTCCTCCTCGTCTTCAGCACTGCCTCTGAATACGTACAGCCCAGAGTTGGTTTGAGCTTCGAGACGATCAGATTCGAGTCGCTTTTTCCACTGGTCGTAGCAGCCGTGGAAACCTTTGAATAGAGCTTGGCGAGCACTGGATCCGAATGAGGAAATATTCTCTGTAGCAGCTGTCGTGGCGATGATGGCGAGGTACTCCATAGGTTGGGTGGCGATGATGTCCTCGTCGAGAGGAGTCGGCCCCCCTCCAAGGAAAGGAGTGGACTTGCTGAGCGCCAAACAACTCTCGTTCTTGGCAGATGGTGTGGCAGAGACCAGAGTGGCCATCGATAACCCGATCTGCAAGCAGCGAAGCATACTGATGACCGGTGCGGTCAAGTCATTGTATGCACAGAATCGCTCTGAGAGTCTTCGGATAATTTGAGAGACGTTATGGTGTGCAAGCTTGATTTGCTGGAGCCCAGTCTCATCACCGTCATTGAAGTAGTTGGTGAGCGTATCCCTAAGGCCCGAACCAAGGACAGATTTAAGCAAGTTTCCGAACTCACCTTGCAATTGATCTATCTCCGATTTCTCGGGTCGATAAACCTCTTGCAACACCTCGGGTGGCTCGCCAAGTTCTGCAAGCTCAGTCTCTAGAAGCTGGCAGCGGAGGTTAGACTCCTGGCCCGAAAACATGCGTTCAAACTGACGGAGAGCATCAAGTCTGTCTTGGATATCTTGACGGTGCTCTCCGTGGCGTTGGCGTTCGAGTCTTTGTCTCTTGTCGGGATCGAAAGCACGGTCTGGTACGTACAGGGTGATACAGCCGATGGCAAATGTGACCCATGCTAGGGAAGAGAATTGCAGTCTGTTATCTGGCTGGGAGCGAGCGACCAGTACGGAAAGTGCGGATGAGCTGAAGTGGTTTGTAAGGACTTCTTGTAAGTGGCTCGAGATAACAACCTCGTTCTGCGCATATGATATCGGATTGCTGCCGAGGCTGAAGTCGATAGGACTAGACTCGATACTCGAAGGTAGCGACTGGCACCAAGAAACAAAGTGCGATGTAATTTCTTCCCCATGTGCAGACACAACCTCCAGAATCAAGTTCGACAGAACTTCGTTAAGATCCACAACATGATCTCTCGACAGCGTCTCGCTGGACTTGGAAATTTTCTCTCCAAGAAACGGCAATTCAGCCTCAAGAAGTTTCAGACTCTTCAAGTCCACTTCGCTGACACCATTGAATGTCGTCAACATCTCCACCGAAAACTTGTCAGCAACAGACTTCAATCCATCACCAAGAAGATAATCGACAGTCTCTAGAGATCTCGAGCTGGATGTCGCGCTCGCTAGTTGCATCTCAGACGTCGTAGGATGATTGGCCAGGATAGCAGAATCGACGTCAATAGTTTGTTCACAAGCAGAGCCAGAGCGCATCCCATCTAAAGTCCGGAATTGTCTCAAAGCCTCGAATTGGCTTGCAAAGAACGGCATAACCTTATTCTCCTCAACTTCAGCCAGAGACCCAATACTCTGTTCCAGGTTCCGCATCTCAGTCTCTAGCGTAGAGATCAAAATAGCGCCATCAACATCGCTCGTCAGAATCAATTTGTAAGCTTTCACAAGAGAAGTCATGATGTGCCCCTGCTCAGCGACTGAGATTGCGGTCTTCCATCTCAGAGCATCGAAGCGGTTGGCTAGTGCTTTCATCTTCGTGAGTGTTTGCATGACGCGAAGGTTTGGGATGACAGTAGGCCGGAGCTTACGCCAGAGGAGCTCCATGCTGAGGCCTGTGGTTAGCTTGAAGCCCGATGAGAAGTCTGCTGAGAGGCTCTCAGTGAAGATCGTGATGGGCGAATCTTGTGATTGTGAGCTTGTGGTGAGGGCAGTGAGCATGTCGTTACCGATGGCGAGATGGGCTTGGAATGTTGATTCTTCGAAGTCGGTAGATGTGGCTAGTTGGAAGGTATTCCACCAGTATCGGAGCAGGGACTGGAATGCGTACCTCTGGTCGTTCCATTGCGCATTCGAACCAGTGTGTGTTTGTAGGTAGACGGAGAGAGCCTGGAGGGTGTTGCGCAGAAATCCTGAGACGTTGACTGTTGAATCTTTATTAACGATCGGAACGCGGGCTTTCACGAGGGATCGTTGAAGTCTGTTCATCTTGCTGGGCTTCAAAGTATCGAGGCCTATCTCCTGTTCCGCCTGGGCATTTTTTGCAGCAGTGATGTCGACAATGAAGTTGACGATAGCACCTAGCCAGAATACTTGCCCGGGGTTTGCAGATTGGCTAAGAAGAGTTTCCAAAAGTGAGTTCTGCAGAGGATGAATGATTTGCGCATCTCTGAAGCTATCCACAGCTAAGTTGGTCTTGATCGCGAGTCCTCCGAGCAACTCGCCGATGGCCACTCTCAGGTGCTGATTGGAGCTACTCTGGTAAATCTCGCCGTATGGCTGGCATATGGCCTCGAAGTTTACGGCGCCAACTTCTGCGAGGTCGCTATTTTGACAAGCCCTAGAAAATCTGTCTAGAATTGGCATATCGGACCAGGAAAGATTGTCCAGAGCCGCAGAACAAACAAGTCGAGCTTTTGCCAAATCCGTGGGACAGGACTCCAAACTCTGGGCCAAATTCTGATATCTTAGCATACTCGACTCTGGCTTCGTCATGATCAAACAACTCTGCTCCTCCATAGCGATTGTCCAAGGTTCGACAAAGATCTCCACAGCCCGATTCCTCATCGCCCTCGACAATTCTCCAAACCGTGCGTCCATCGTCAGGAAAATTCGGAACTCGGAATGCGGCTTCACAACCTTCGGCTTGCCATCCGGCCCACAATGCTCATTGATACTCAAAAAGCCGTTGGGCTCGAGCAACGAGTTGAGGCGATCAAGAACAGAAGCGCTACAGAGATTTGCATTATCGAGGACAAGCCAGGAGCCTTGCTCGAGGGCTTTAACAAGCACGCCATCGACCCACTCGAAACGAGCGTTTTCGACGGCCAGAGGACGGGTTGCGAACTGTGCGCACGTGGTAGCGAGATTTTCGAAGGCTGTGAGGGAAGTTTTTGAGAATAGGGCACGAAGGAGAGAGGCAAGGCCAGTGAAGTGGGATGGTGTTGAGCGGGCCTCTTGATTGAGGAGGGAAAGCACTTCAAATGCTTCGCCAGGAACCTCGGCTGGGAGGGAGGACAGGATCTTGGTATTGAGGAAGTCTTTCAGCTCGGTGAGGAAAGCGCTAGCTTGACGCTGGGGGTCCACTTGTTCGAATCCTCCGACGAGATCCATAGTGTCAATGTCGGCATTGAGTGGGAAGACAACGAGGGATTTTCCACTGGTGGCTGCAATGTGCTCGATAATTGTCGTCTTGCCAGATCCTGATGGACCTACCAATATACATGGCAGATTTTGCTGTATACAGATCACAACTGACTCGATCTCCGGCAAACGTTTGGTGAGATCGGCAGCTGGAAATGGCAACCGCTGAATCAAAGGGTCTCTCGCCATGTAAGACAAGCCGACTTGGTACGCGGAAGAACTGGTGTTGTGGAAGAAATGGCGGAACGGCACATTCTGGCAAAAGATCTGGGCAAATATCCGGTCAATTTCCTGACGATCCTTGGTGGTTCTGAATCGTTGTCTGAAGATCAAGTTCAGAAAATCCGACGGATTCGTAGCCGCAAGCAACGGGGCATCCGACTCGAGCAGTTGGAGCCATCTGAGGATATCTCTCAGGTTGAATTCCCACGGTCCACCCTGCGATCCAAATCGCCTGACACGCACAATTTCATGCTCAAGCTTTTCCACAAACCGGATCATCGTATCCAAAGTCTTATCCTCCATCGCGGGAAAGTTGTGCTTGCAAATAAGCTTCAAATCATCGTTCCGGAACACATCCGCATACACAACCGTGAAGCGATTAACAAATGAGCTTGGCAGTCCCTTTCGCCCACCCCCTTGATGATGTGGGTTCTGCGCCGCAAAGACGGAAAAATCAGGATGGCGCTTGAAGGTTTGGTCGAGCTCGGAGATGTAGACTTCGCCTCTGTGGTCGAGACAGGCGTTGAGACCTTCGAGAACGGATTGCGAGGCCAAATTCATTTCGTCGAGGAGCACCCATTCGCCGTTTTGCATGGCTTGCAGAAAAGGGGCGTCGCGCCAGGCAAAGTGGCCGGCTTCTGCACCTTCGACGGGAATATCGGAGCCGAAGAGATCCATAAGGTCGGTTTGCTCCGATAGATTGATACGCGTGAGAGGGCGATTGCATGCGCGAGCTAGAGCGGCGATCAGAGTGGTCTTTCCGACCCCTGGGCTGCCTTCAATAAGAATTGGCTTTTGAACTTGAAGCGCGCGTACCACTCTCATAGCGTTCAATTTAGTTGTTGGTGCGTTCAAGGCAAAGCCCGGGTCAGAGTCTGATCCAGACTGCTTAAGGATGGAGAAGTCTCCTATGATAAGCGAGTCCTCACCATTGACCAGCCCGATAGGCTTGAAGTAGATCGAGCTGATGTCGTAGTTGAGAAGAGTGGTGAGCTTTTGTAAGCACTTCTTTCTTTCTTCTACGATGTTTTCCGGGTTGATAGCCAGCAGAGCCGCGGGGTTGGCACCTAAAGTATCAACGTAGACCATAGCCGCACCGTGCAGAACAGCAAAGTACGGATCGCTTGAAGAAGAGCCATTCATGAACTTGACCCACGCCAATACATCTCGGACCGAAATCGAAGTTGCCGCGGAAGAGCGATAGTTCTCTCCAAACCACTCGGCGAAATACACCATAGCCTTCGACAAATGCTTGAACTTGCTATCCAGCTTGGCTTCAACAATCTGAAAGACATCCTCATGCTCAGACAGCGAAGGCACCCAGATCTCAGTGAAGCGATTTCGCAGGGCAGGGGACAATTCGCGCTTGCCGTAGTCACCACCGGGGTTCATGGTGGCAAAAAATTGGAAACCATCGGCGGCTTCTACGAAGGAGTTCTCGACTCCCTTTTCCGCGAGTAATATTGTTCGCTGAGTTTCGAGGACTGAGTTGAGGCGTTCGAGTACAGAATCATCAGCGAGGGAAATCTCGTCGAGCAGAAAGAATTCGCCATCCTTCAATGCCTGGACGAGACTTCCGTCAGACCACTCGAAAAGAGCCTTTGCCTTCCCTTGGTTCGCCTCAATCCTCTGACGAAATTCGTCTGGTGCTTGCGAAACGGTCGATGAAGGCAAAGCCCGGTACGCAGCTATCAAAACATCAACTTTCTCATCCTGATCGACAGACTGCCCAAGACCGCCCAGCACAGCAATCAAATCCTGCTTCAGCTGTTCCAAAATTACTGCGCGATTTCTCACGGGTCTCTGTGCACCAATAAGATCTCCCGTCTCGGTATTCTGATGCGCATTGACAACATGCAGCTTTTTTCCAAAAGCGTTGGCTAACATTTGGCAAACGGTCGTCTTTCCGCATCCCGTCTCACCGACAAGCAGAACAGGCTCGTTATTGCGAAGAGCGTGAGCGACGAGGACGTAGAGACGCCGCATAGCATGTGTCCAGACCACGCCTTGAGAATTCGACGTCTCATTGTAGGCCTTGATCTCGGGAGAGAGTTCGCCGTTGTAAAGAGAAGCGGGATGGATTGTGACTTTGAAGACTTTCTCAATGATGTCCTTGACAGCTGTTCGCTCAATTGGGTTTCGAACGCGCTCTGCGAGGAGCATGTATCCATTCGCAGCTAGCTGCTCGCGGGTATCTGCGTTTCTCATAGCCCAACGAAAAAGATCTCTGAGGGTGGCGAAACTATCTTTTTGTTCAAAGAGGCGGTTGGACTGACGGAGACTGGACAGATCCTTGTACACTTGTACGATTCGCTTACAGTCCGAGGGTGCGACGTTCTTGCTTCTGTATTCCAGGATGGTATGTAACTCCTCTTGTGGGATGTCGTCGAAGTGAAGTTCCAAGAAACGATTTCGGAAGGCTCGCGAAAGTGTTTTTCTACCACCATAAAGTCCTGGCGGATTTTGAGTAGCGAAGAGCATGAAATTCTCGTGAGGCCGGACAATCTCTTGGGTTTCAGGAATGAGGAGTTCTCGGTTGTCATCAAGCAGTCTGTTTAGAGCTTCCAGCACATCGGTTGGTGCCAAGTTCAACTCATCGAGCACGATCCAGTGTCCTTGGCGGAGAGCTTGAACGAGAAGGCCCTCCTGAAAGCGTAGTTGTCCATCAGCGCCAGACACGTAAGTACCCAGGTATTCTTGCAAATCAGTGTGCTCGTGATTGTTAATTCGGACGAACTTGTTGCCACTGAACTTTGCCAGATACTCGATCATACTCGTCTTTCCAGAAGAGGTCGGACCCTGAACTAGAACGGGGAAGCGTCGTGTAGATGTAGCGCGGACCAGATTCAGCATGTTACGTTCAACGGAAGGGGTCAGAATGTAATGAGACTGCTCCTGGGGTATGTCTGAGCCCTGAAGCATCCAATATTGGCGGTCCTTGTTCTTGTTCGTGAATGCTTTATACAGCTTCCCATCATCGAGTCGACGAGGAGTCTGGGCCAGAAGAGCACGAGGGTTACCATGGCCGCTCAACAAGTGGTGATCGATCAATGGTATGAGCAGCCGTTCAGATTCTCTGTCAAGAAGGGTGAGAAAACCCATGGCGAAACCTTCATACAAAGCTCTACGCAGTCCATATGAAGGAGCGATCTCAACCACATAACTCAACACACGGGTCAGGGTTCGAAGACTGAAATGCGGAACTTGATTGGCTCCATCCACCAATCTCTTGTCGTCTGCGAGACGCTTCGTGTTGAGGTACAGTCGAGCAACATCGTGAGCCGCTTTCTCGTCATTACTGCTGTTGCCTTTCAAATAAGCTTGAATGACACCAAGAAGATCATCCAGGTTACGGTCAGGACTCTCAACATAAATCTCAGTAAACCGCGATCGCAGTCCCATTGGGAGATCCCGCTTTCCGACATCAGTGGCGGGATTCATGGCACCGAATATGCGAAAGTTTGGATGAGCTCTCACACGCTCAATCTCACCCGTCTCCGAGAGCAAGATTGATGGCGAGCCGCCAGAGCCGCTGTGTAACAGGTCTGCAATGCTCTCCAGGGTGTCGGGCGAAGCAAGATTTATTTCGTCGAGAAGCACCCAATCACCGTTCCGAGCAGCTTTCACGATGTTTCCCTCCACGAAAGTAAAAGCAAAGCCTTTTGAGCCACCGGACAGCTGGATGTCGAATTGAGCCAAGCTCTGAGAAAATCTTTCCCATCGTGGTTTCAGTTGCAATAATGACTGCAGCCTTGTCTCGGTCTTGCGACGCTTCACCGGCTGCTCGACCGATCGTCCACTAGATATCTCCTTCTTCATCAACTCGGACAAAATCTTGTCGAACATCTTTGGAGCTTCGCGCCAAAGCTTGGTGGCTTTACTCCACTGGCTCTTTGCGACACATTTCCCCAGTGAGTCAATGTACTTCTGGTTTTTGGTCACAGAGATACCTGTGGCTTCAAAGAGGTCATCAAATTCTTCTTTGAGCGGGATAGCTAGACTTCTGATGTTGACAGGCTTGAAGCCACCGAGAAGATCGCCAACTTCACTCTGCTGTGACAGGTTAACAGCGGTGAGCTTGTATCCGAGGGAGTCTGCAAGCTGTTGAACGACGGTGGTCTTTCCGATACCAGTTTCACCTACGAGAAGCACTGGCTCCATCATTTTCACAGCGACTCCGACCTGCTCGAGCAATCGCTTGGCATGGGCAGTGTTAGCGAACGGTCTGGCTTTCTTTGGTTTAGTGACGCGATTGGCAGGTCTCTTCTGTAGGCGCACACGCCCGATAGTGAGCTCCTTCTCGCCATCCTCGTATCGTGGAATATGGGATGTCAGGAAATGCTCAACGCGTTGAGGATCGATGTGCATCTCCTCGGCAATGGCAGAAATAACTGTCCTGCGGGTATCATCTGACTGCAGACTGCCAGCAAAGCAATCCGTAGCTTCCAGGAACATCTCATACTTGACAGCATCAGTGATGGGTTCGTCGCCAGTTCTCGAACCTGCTGTCTTGAGAATACCATCTAACCGGCGGCACCACTTGAGAAGATCACGAGGGCTAATTGGTCTTCCGAGGGATGTCCGACTCTTCGAGGCGAAAGCCGGCTTTTGCGACAATGTGTATAATCGCTCATACACACTGATGATACCAGGCAGGAACTTATGCAAGACCGGATAAGTGCCATTGATGATGTCTGTGAATTCTTCTTGATTCGGCATCTGGACAGGTACTCGCTGCCACAAACGAGCTCCAAGCATATGCAAGGCGGGCGGGTTCTCATGCCCAGTGACACTTAGAGTTGTTCGGATACTGGCGAGAAGCCTGAATCCACGCCCTGCCTTGACTGTTTCGCCACGACTGGGAATCAGAAGTTCTCCACGCTCGATCAGGGGTAGGATGACACTGATAACTTCATTTGGTGCTCGGTCGAGATCCTCAATGAATACATATCTGCCTTCTCTGACGGCCGTCGCCAAGACACCGGCTCTCCATGTGAAGGATCCGGGCTTCGAACCACTCGCATACATTCCGATTAGCATCTTTGCATCAGTCTGTTCATTCAGGTGGAGGGTGACCATGTTCGAGTCTACCCCAAGTTCTCGGGCAAAGTCATTAACAAGCGATGTCTTTCCGGAACCCGCCAGCCCATGAAGCAGTATTGGGGAAGAGGAGAGGAGTGCTTTGGCAAACAATTCCATGTTGTGCGAAGTAGTTGTGGTATGCACTAGAGTAGAAGATCGAGCTGGGGGTCCATTGGGTCGGGGAAGTAGAGTATTTGTATATTTTACAACCAAGTCCGATAGCCCTTCCAGATTTGACGTGATGATGGGTTTTTTATTCCGCAGAGCTTCGGTAGCATCTTTCAGCCGCTTTCCCTCAAACAGGCTCAAGAATCCGTAGTCCACCTGTCGACCGTCAAAGTCTCCCATTACGGCCTCCGACTTTCCAACATGCTCCTCGACCATGGCTTCGAGCTTAGATTCCGAAGCGTAACATAAATGGCAGAGTATTCTGACAGCCAAATATCGCACTCCTCTATCTGCATGCTTCAGATAGCCTTGGATATTCGCACTCGAAATCGTTTGAGAGAAGGCATTTTGATTGCTGAGGTTGAGGAGCCGTAGAGTTGCCAGAAATATGCGTTGGAGCCCCAAAGCGTCCAGCCCATTATCCTCTACCCATAGGCTTTCTATCCTAGCGCTTGGTCCGTCGTGTCCAGGTGTCGTAGTACTCTCCAAATATTTTCCCAGAAAGGTCGACAGATGCGGCGCAAGAGGCAGAACACGCGCAAAAGCCCCGATCACTCCCACATCTTGTCTTCCTCCCCTTTCCCTCCCAATCCACCTCGCAGAAGTATCTGCGAATATATCCTCATATCTCGTAAATAGCCGCAGCGTCAATTCAGGCTTGAGAGCTGCAACGGCGAGCGCATCCAGGAATCGCGGAGAGCTCTCCAGCCGTATAACCTCGAGGATTCCTTGAGGCAATTCTCCCAAATTATGTCCATTCGACAGGAAATCCTCCCGTCTCTCGTTTCTATCGTCGACATCCATTTCGTGGCGTTGTCCGTATTTGCGCAACCTGCGGGAGATTCTCATGCACATCCAGACTTTTTTTTTTTCTGATAAGAAACGTCGATAGCAAAATATCACTGCACGGACCATAAGCCAAGGAAATTCTAGCGCGTCTCTCGACTCTGGCAAATATCCACCGCATCGACACAATTTTGGTATTCCTAAGATCTCGGAATTCCCTCGTTCCGCAACCCCTTATCCACTCACCATGTCGCTATCCTGCCATTCCGCAGCACGAAGCTGCGTCCGCTCTCTGCGCTCCCAACCCTGCCTACGAATCCCCGCCGCCGCTGCCGTGGCACAACGGAGGAGTACGCCCGCGAGACGATGGCAAACGACCGAAGCGGCGGCTACGAACCCCAAGATTTCGGGTATTGTAGACCAGATCAGTCAATTGACGCTGTTAGAGACTGCGGATTTAGTTGCGAGCTTGAAGGTACGCTTTGGGTGCATTCAGGGGCGCTGGGAAATGTTTTGCTAACGGATGGGGCGATGGGCAGTCTCGACTCAATATCCCGGATATGCCAATGGGAGGATTCGCCGCTGGCCCCGCTGCGCCTGCTGCTGCGGCTCCTGTTGAGGAGGAGGAGGCTGCCCCTGTGCAGCAAGAGAAGACGCTTTTCAACCTGAAGCTGGTGTCGTTCGAGGCGGGCTCCAAGCCGAAGATCATTAAGGAGGTGAAGAGCATGTTGGGACTGAGTTTGGTGGATAGTAAGAAGTTTGTGGAGAGCGCGCCGAAGTTGATGAAAGAGGGTGTGCCAAAAGAGGAGGCCGAGAAGATTGTGGCTACGTTGAAGGAGCTGGGGGCCGTGGTTACGATGGACTAAGGGGTGTTGGGTGATGGGTGTTGGGTGATGGAGGGAGTGTATGATGTGTATGGGACGACGAGGCACTGTATCAATACTAAAGATTTGTACAGAATCTGCTTCTCACTCAAGCCGCTGGACTCTTTTGCAGGTGCGTGGAGTCGAGGCATAATCGGGATATACCAGCAAGCCCAATAGTGAAGCATTGATGGCTAAGGCGCTGACCACAACACTGCTGGGGAGGAGAATCCTTACCTGGTTGCCACGAGCCAGCCAGTACGCAGGAAAGCCAGTACGGGGGAGTTAGGCATGGCACCGAAACCCTCTCTGACCTGCCTTTATCACTTATTCTCTTTCTTGTATTGCACTGTCATTCTTGCATCCACCATCATCTTCCATGCTCTCATATCTACGCGAAGCAAGAGAAGAACACGGAGACTAGCCACACCACTCCCAACAGAAGGCGCATCGACGAAAAGGTTTCTCCTGATAATGCAAGTTTCCTTCTGTGCTTGTGGACGCTTACCATCAGCCCACATCACTCGACCGTCTTTCTTGTTTCTTGCTTAAGATCTCGTTCCGATGGTTGCTTTTATGCTCTCTCCTCCACTCAACTCGCCTCGATTCACCTCTCCCTTCAAAACAGCCAGGATAATCAAGTCGAAAATCCTAGCCGGGGGTATAATACAGATCTCACTTCCTCAGCACGGCTGCTTTCCTGTGCTAGATACCGCCGTGGAAAGCCATGGCTACATAGCAGCTAAGTGTATCGCGCGCCCGCCTGCCTGCCTTCGCTCAGTTCCTCATCCTACCTCCAGCCTCCCTCCGAGTGCGCGTGCGTTGCCGTTTGGGTGCTTCTTGTGTCGATTAAGTACTGGCTATCAGACTTACTTCAGAGCTGCAAAGTAAACGAGACACATCTCGATTCTCGAGTCTCGTTGTTGCGTTGATGTTTTGGAAGAAGGGGCAGGCTTCTTTCTGCGTGCCTGCTAGGTCTTGATGGCTAAATATTCGGTATTTCAGCTTTCGCTTCTCTGGCATGTAGCGATCTGTTCGCTCCATGTCGTAAGCTGTGTTAGGCCGTAGATGCTCATTTCGCCGAGCAGATGTGGCCTTATATTCTCCTTTTTCCTCAGGAAGAAGATTGCTTAGGCTCTTCGTTTGACTGGAACTTCACACCAATGAATCTTCGGGTTTGCATTTCATCTCTCTCTCTTTAGTGGAGGCATAGTCTTCTTACGCATTTTGTGTAGTACATCACACATCTTATAATAGGCACATTCGTGACGAGGCCACATTCACACACCCAACAGTCCTTGCCGCTACTGCGCTGGCAGCCTTCTAATGAATGATTTCTTTGTAATTGTAGCATCTAATAACTCTCTCACGATTCTTTCTACTTCACCTCAGGCGCGAGTTTGCGGGAGTCAGGTACAATCTTTTAACCTCTTAAATCTTTGATACCTGGGAAGCAGGAAAGAATGTGAGTAGCCACTCGATACCCAAAGGCTGCTCGCTTTATTCTTTTGCCGTCATTACTCCTCAAATTGCCACCCCCTCGTCCCTCCATTGATGGACTTTCTGACTGCCTCGCCTGGTTACCTGGCCATCTACTCGATATACACCAGGATCCTCATGGACGTTGTCGGTGTCCGATCAATTGCAAAGCCCGGAGCAGAAACCAAACACCCAATTCCGCTCTCCCTTCGAGCTCTAATGCAAAGTCGAAGCCTTTTCCCGCTTTGCTCTCCTGTGTATCTAGTCCCTAGTCTCTCTAACCATTTATCGACATGATCCCGTGTGCGTGTTCGCACGTAGCTGGCTGTTGAATTCCAGTTTCGTTGTATGTCATTTTCCTGTCAAGATATACGCTAGCGTCCTTTTGCCTCGCTTTCGGTCCAAGATGTAGCGGCCGCTATCTCTCGCCCTGATCTGCAATGAGAATTCTGCTTAATCTGTGCTACATGTATGCTTGAACACGAAGCAAGCTACGTAGAAATACTTGAGGTGCTTGCAGAGCGACAACTAGCCAGGAGGTCATTCCTGTACACAAGACTGTCCGTCTCTCTTCTAGGCGTGATACGGAATATCCAATGTGGGTTTTGTGTCACCGACCAACGCCACTCATGAGCTTGTGTTTCGCGATGACGATCGGTGATCGACTCCGCTCTCTTTCGTCTATGGCCAGGTCTCAAAGGCTATCTGTGAGTGGAGTAGCACTGCAGCTGAGAGTAAGACATGTACCAACCCCAACCTCATGATAATTCGCCCTCCACCCTTCCACACCCCCGGCCTCTTGATCTTCCCTCTCTCTTCCATACTCATCTCCACAAAAGACCCTTCACCACGGACATGATCCTCCACCAAATCGTCGCGCAAATCATCAACCTCGCGGTCCTCACCTGGGACTTCGCCCTCTCCCTCCTCAACCTCCTCACCCCACCCCTCAAACCCAAACACGTCGTCCCCTCCCGCGCCCCAGGCCACGGCGGCCTCTGGCCCCCCCACGTCCCCCCCCAGCCAGGCGACTCCCGCTCCGCCTGCCCGATGCTCAACGCGCTCGCCAACCACGGGATCCTCCCGCACAGCGGGCGCGGCATCCCCTTCCGGGCCCTCAACACGGCGGTGCGGCAGTCCTTCAACTTCGCGCCCTCCTTCTGCTTCTTCGTGCCCAGGTTCGCCGCCGACTTCCTGGGCCGGAGCTACTGGACCGACAGCTTCGACCTCGCCGAGCTGAGCCAGCACAACGCCATCGAGCACGACGCGAGCCTGACGAGGCAGGATGTCGCGCTCGAGCCGGACCAGGCCGCGCCGGACCTGGCCCTCGTGGCTGCCCTGCTGGGAGGGGCCACGGGCGTGACGCCCGGCGGCGGCAAGGTCTTGACGAAGGCGGATCTCAGTCGCGCGCTGGCCCGCCGGAGGCTGAGCTGCCGCGCCATGAACAGGGAGTACAGCGAGAGCCTGTTCCATACCCTGTTCGGCAGCGCGAAGTGCGGCTCCCCCCGATCTTCCCTCCCTCGAGGCTCGAGATAGCTGCTGACGAGCTCGCAGCTCGTCGACCATGCTGACCATCTTTGGGGGGAGGGTGGAGGATCTCACCCGTGAGTTCTGCCGGCGTTCCCCTCGCGTCCTCGGGCGCTGCTCACATCTGCTGCGTGCGGTGCGGTACGAGTCGGGGTCTTCCGGCTGATTATTTTTTTTTGTTTTTTTTTTAACTTTTTTAACTTTTTTAACTTTTTTAACTTTTCGGTCTTAGCTATGCTCACCGAAGAGCGTTTCGCCGACGGGTGGGAGCCCCGTGTTAGTTCCCGCTTTGGGCTCACGATGGCGCGCTTCAACGGGACGGTCATCCCGGTCGAGAGAGGCACCAGAGCGGTACTTGCCGAGAAACGGCCGTGAAGAGGGCGAAGCGACGCCACGGGACGATGGGACCTGGAAGGAGTAGGTAGGTAAGGTAATGCTTGACGAACTTCCGATGTGACTTACGAAGGCGCGGAGGGGGAATTGATGGCATATATACAGGTTTTTTTTTTTTTTTTTTGTTCTGTCGTTTAATTAATTGTTTTCTTTTCCGAGGGGGGGGGACCTCGATCTGATTCTCAAAGAGCAGACAGACAGACACCTGTAGCTCCTCTTAAAGTCACCCTCTTGTCGCTATTCATCCATCCATCCATCCATCCCACCTTCTCTCACCTTCTCCTACCATCCCACCATCGCCGTCTCAAACCTCTCGATAATGGAAGGAAGGTACTTATTTGATAAAAGCAGTGTAGAAATACCAACCAACCAACCAAAAATTATTCTTTTTTTATTTTTCATTTTCTATTTTCTATTTTTTTTTTTTTTCAATTTCTGTTGTTTCTTATTTGTTTTTTGATTTTTCTTATTTTTTTTCATTTATTTT